CTCCTGCCTGTTGACAAGCCTTTTCCCGTTCATGCTTTAGATAGCCGCCCGTTGGGGTCGGGGTTGATTAGGGAAATCACAGCGCCACTTAGGATGTGTGCGCAGGGGGGTCATGAGGAGACTATACAGCTATATCTGATCGACTCTCCTGCGTACCCGGTGGTGCTGGGAATTCCCTGGTTAAGTACCCATAACCCTGCCATTTCGTGGCAACAGAGAGCTCTCAATGGGTGGTCTGCTCAGTGTGAGGGGTGATGTCTGGGTGTTTCCGTGGGGGCGACTTCGGTGGAAAGTCCAAACCAAGTGCCCGCATTGCACATTCCGCCTGAATATGGGGATTTGGCTATTGTGTTTAGTAAAGCTAGGGTGACGCAGTTGCCTCCTCACAGACAGGGGGGATTGTGCGATAGACCTCCAGGCAGGAGCAGCGCTCCCACGGAGCCACGTGTATCCTTTGTCTCAAGAGGAGAGAAAAGCTATGGAGACTTACATAGCCGAATCTTTGAGACAGGGATACATACGGCCCTCCACTTCTCCTGCGTCCTCGAGCTTCTTTTTTGTGAAGAAAAAGAATGGAGGGTTGCGCCCGTGCATTGATTACCGTGGTCTCAATCAGATTACTGTGAAATACAGTTATCCACTCCCTCTGATTGCGACCATGACGGAGTCATTGCACGGAGCGCGGTTTTTCACAAAACTGGATCTCAGGAGCGCGTATAACTTGGTGCGCATTAGGGAGGGTGACGAATGGAAAACAGTGTTTAGTACCACCTCGGGTCATTACGAGTATCTCGTCATGCCATACGGGTTGATGAATGCTCCGTCAGTCTTCCAATCCTTCGTGGATGAGATTTTCCGAGATATGCAGGGACAAGGGGTGGTCGTGTACATTGATGACATTCTAGTGTACTCGTCTACCCGAGCCGAGCATGTAGCCCTGGTGCGTCGTGTATTGAGGAGGCTGTTGGAGCACGACCTGTATGTCAAGGCAGAGAAATGTCTGTTTTTCCAGGAGTCGGTCTCCTTTTTGGGTTATCGGTTGTCCGCGTCAGGGGTGAAAATGGAGGTGGACCGTGTGTCAGCCGTGCGTAATTGGCAAACCCCAACCACTGTCAAAGAGGTGCAGCAGTTCTTGGGCTTTGCGGATTACTACCGGAGGTTTATCCGGGGTTTTGGACAGGTGGCAGCTCCCATCACGTCCCTTCTGAAAGGGGGTCCGGTGCGCCTGCAGTGGTCAGCTGAGGCGGTCAGGGCTTTTGGGGAGACTGAAGGACCTGTTTACGTCGGCTCCGGTGCTGGCGCATCCGGATCCCGCCTTACCCTTTCAGGTCGAGGTGGACGCGTCTGAGGCCGGTGTAGGGGCCGTACTCTCTCAACGGTCCGGCACGCCACCTAAACTCCGCCCCTGTGCTTTTTACTCTAAAAAGCTCAGCCCGGCGGAGCGAAATTATGACGTCGGGGACAGGGAGCTGTTAGCTGTAGTTCAGGCCCTTAAGGTGTGGAGGCATTGGCTTGAGGGGGCTCAACACCCTTTTCCTCATTTTGACTGACCATCGGAACCTAGAGTACATCCGGGCAGCGAGGAGACTGAACCCTCGCCAGGCTCGATGGAGTATGTTTCTCGCCAGGTTCGTATTTAAAATCACGTACATTCCTGGGTCCCAGAACGGTAAGGCAGATGCTCTGTCCCGGCGGTATGACACGGAGGAGAGGTCCGTTGAGCCTACTCCCATACTACCGGCATCTTGTCTAGTGGCACCGGTTGTGTGGGAGGTCGATGCTGAAATCGAGCGGGCGTTGCGTGCCGACCCTAGCCCTCCACAGTGTCCTGTGGGTCGGAAGTACGTTCCGCTCAAGGTTCGGGATCGACTCATTTACTGGGCTCACACGTCACCCTCCTCTGGACATCCGGGTATTGGCCGGACAGTGCATTGTCTTAGCACTAAGTACTGGTGGCCCACGTTAGCCAGGGATGTGAGGGTTTATGTCTCCTCCTGCTCGGTGTGCGCCCAGTGTAAGGCGCCCAGACACTTGCCCAGGGGTAAGTTACAACCCCTGCCCGTTCCACAACGACCCTGGTCCCACCTCTCAGTGGATTTTGTGACAGACCTTCCCCCCTCGCAGGGGAATACCACCATCCTGGTCGTTGTGGACCGGTTCTCTAAGGCCTGTCGTCTTCTCCCTATGTCGGGTCTTCCTACTGCCCTACAGACCGCAGAGGCACTATTTACCCACGTCTTCCGGCATTACGGGGTACCCGAGGATATAGTGTCTGATCGAGGCCCCCAGTTTACCTCCCGAGTCTGGAGAGCGTTCATGGAGCGTTTGGGGGTCTCGGTGAGCCTTACCTCGGGGTACCACCCGGAGAGCAATGGGCAGGTAGAACGAGACAACTAGGATGTGGGTAGGTTTCTGAGGTCGTATTGCCAGGACCGGCCGGAGGAGTGGGCTCGGTATATTCCCTGGGCAGAGATGGCCCAAAACTCTCTCCGCCACTCCTCTACCAACCTAACCCCCTTCCAATGTGTGTTAGGTTACCAGCCGGTTCTGGCACCTTGGCAGCAGAGCCAGATCGAGGCCCCTGCGGTGGATGATTGGGTGAGGTGCTCGGAGGAGACGTGGAACGCTGCACACGTCCATCTGCAGCGGGCCATCCGTCGACACAAGGCGAGCGCCGATCTCCACCGCAGTGAGGGGCCGGTGTACGCACCTGGAGATCGAGTCTGGCTCTCGACCAGAAACCTGCCCCTCCGCCTGCCCTGCCGGAAGCTGGGTCGGCGGTTTGTGGGGCCTTTTAAAGTCCTGAGAAGACTGAACGAGGTGTGTTATAGGTTACATCTGCCTATTGAATATAAGAATATTAACCCCTCGTTCCATGTGTCTCTTCTCAGGCCGGTGGTAGCTGGTCCACTCCAGGAAGGTGAGATAGGAGAGACTCCTCCTCCCCCACTGGACATCGAGGGGGCTCCGGCGTACACCGTTCGGTCCATCTTGGACTCGAGACGTCGGATGGGGGGTCTCCAGTATCTCGTGGAGTGGGAGGGGTACGGCCCGGAGGAACGGTGCTGGGTGCCGCGGAGGGACATCCTAGACCCGTCTCTCCTGTCGGAGTTCCACCGGGGGCATCCCGCGCGCCCTGCTCTGCGTCCTCCTGGTCGTCCCCGAGGCCGGGGTCGGCGCACGGCTGGAGCCGCGCGTCAAGGGGGGGGGTACTGTCACGGTTTCGGCCGAGGCTGCTCCTCCTCCTTGCTCGGGCAGGCTTCGGCGGTCGTCGTCCCCGGAGTACTAGCTGCCACCGTTGTATGTTTCATGTTCGTTTGGTTTTGTCTTGATGTTGTACACCTGTTTCCAGTTAGTGTTCATTAGTGTCCTATTTAGTTCTCGTTGTGTGTGTCAGGTGTTGTGTGTGATTGCGCTTCTGTTTGGTGTTCTGTGCTACGTGTTTCCCTCCGTTGTTTTGGAGAGGGTTTTTCGCACATGTTAGTGCGCCTTTTGTTTGACGCCTGTGTGCGCCTTTATTTTCGCCTCCGGGCTTGTTGAGCTCGTGTACTAAGTGAATATTTCACTAAAGTATTTTGGACTTAGTTTCTGCGTCCTGCGCTTGATTCCTGCACCACACCCACCTACAGCACCCGTGACACATTCACTATGAAATACAGCCACACAAAGCAAAAACCTAAATGAAATGAATAACTGATTAGTGAAAAAGCCCTCTTTAATTTGCATTTAAGCTATTCCATTATAAAATGCTATATAATATCATTCTATACACAAAGATGATCCCATACATGTAGTTTATTATGTTTACACAACTTCTATTTCATAGTGATGATCCAGACCTTCAGTAATGGGCCTCATGGAGGGTGTGTTTCAACTAAACTGGTCAAACAGTGTGATAAGTTATGGTGTATGCCAAGACTTGGCACAAATCAATTCACACACATCTCACAAGGCCTCACTGTTTAATATGTGACTTAATTCATCTGGATATAATGTCAAGGGCCATTGTACAACTTCTCTCTCATGGCACAATAGTGCAAAGACCAAACGACACATAGTCCGTCTTGTGATCCCACACTGGAGTCATGCCATATCATAATGGGATTTCACATGTGATTTCAAGCTATGTCATTATTTTATATTGGGTCCACAGATATGACATCACTGCAGGTCACGAGACAGGAACTATTAGCTACAGTCACAGATCGATTTCTGTGCCATAACATTGAGGACAATGGGACTTCATATAGCAAATTTGCTCCATGGCTTCATTTGTTAAATCTTAGTCAATGACATAGCTAGAAACCAGAAACACAACTCAAAATCTAGTAGTCCATCAATGATCACTATGCAGTGCAGAAGTAAACAATAATGTGTGAACACATATTTACCTTAAAGGCAAACCTTACTGAGGCCTCTGGAAACAGGACATTTTGTGAAATGCAAAACATATCTAGTTCTAAAGTTTCCATATTTGACACCTGATCATAGATATATTAATTTATGCAATACATAATAAACTGAGAGCGGGGATCAGTAATCTGGTGTCAAGTCAATAGTGAATTAACCCCTATCTTATTGCTGTGTTGTAAGACAATCACCAAACCAGGTCACTGTGTCAACAGGAACTACTGTATGTGAACAGTTTGTGACCATTCTTCTTCAGTTTCAGTTTGTGACCCTTCTTCTTCAGTTTCAGTTTGAAAACCAGATCCCAGGTTAGGTCTGAATATTAACAGATAGATAAGCCACACCAGCCAGTAAAATATTGACTTTTGTGACCCTATTGCCCTGAACCTAACTAGATTGCCCAAGGGATGTCTTGCTTCCATAAAGTGGACCCCCCCCCCCCCCCCCCCCCCCCCCCCCCCCCCCCCCCCCCCTCCCCCCTCCAGGCTGTCCAGCCTATGGCAATGATCAGTGTCAGGGCAAGGGTCGCCCTTATCGCTATACTCATCCAACATAGATTTGCGACAACACCCTTTTTGTCATTCTGCTCAGGGATAGCAAGAGAGGCGCATGTATGACACTGCCAGAGAGACAGGAGAGACAGAAGAAGAGAAAAGTAGAGAGAGAGCATGTGACACATGTTGGCTGTGAGGGAGAACACAGATAGTGATAAATATTTTCAGGTGTACTTGTAGGTTACATGTTCCTGACTACAAAACTTTTACACCTAATTTGCATTCCTCTTTGGGTTGGCAGAACGAAGTGTGGGTGAGTTATTGTTTTGCCTCAGCCTGAACGTTGGTAGAATAACAAGTAGCCTACGTTTGTAACCTATGTGTGCCATTTCATGCATTTTAAGACAGGTAAACGTAGGGCATCTAGAGGAGGGCGTTAAAATAGTGTTAAAATAGTGTTCAAATTTGGAGTGTCTAAAAATATTATTTTTGACCTACAATTGCTATTACTATTTGAGTCCACTTAGTGCAATTAATACATGAGGGGTGGATGTTGACTTTGGTACAGGAAGAAGGAATCAAAGCCCATCAGACAGCTGTAATGAGGTTATGATGGGACACAATGATAAGACTTAATCTTCTGTTTACTGCTACTGTAAAGGGTTATCATCCCACTGGGCACAACGTCTATTCCATGTTGGTTCAACCTAATTTAATTGAAATGACGTGGAAACAACATTGATTCACCCAGTGTGTGCCCAGTGGGATAGTTATCTACTGCATAGTTTAGGGCTTCTGAAGACATGATGAGACATGATGAGCTCTATGGTGAATGTCTGGATCACTCATTAATCTCAATCTAGAGATGTTGGCATTTTTTCTTTCTACTGATATCATTAGAGGCATGCTTTGATATTTTGATATTTCTGGTTAGGTCCCATTTAAGATATATTGGAGTTTTATATGGTTTGTCAATACATTGTCTGCGTTTGTCTTTGGATTAAGGGGCAATCTGAGATGGGTTGACAGATAGGTTGCCTAAGACACCTGTATATTTTCACTGTGGTCCTTGAGTAAGTGTTTCCGTTGCCACGGTGCTGAATGTCGCTGTGTAACATTGAACTAGATGTGGGAGCACATTAACAGCAAGCAGGAAGTTTCTTTGACGATAGCCTAACTAATCTCTCACAGATCACGACATGTTTATTGCTTTTCAATGTTTTCATACAGTGAAGCCATTTTCACTAAATCACTACTTGACTGAACCTCTGTTACAGTTTCAATTATATATTACACTACCCATCTAAGTTTAACGAGAGAACTGTGAGTGATGCAACACCCCTTGAATTCAAATGCTAATTGGGAAGGTGTTTAATCATTGTTTCCTTCGGGGAGGACACACTATCTAATGATCAAAGAGTGTCATGATGAGTGAAGATTCTCTGTCTGATTCATTCCAGGAGCACAGCTAAGCACCCCACCACCACCCCCACAGCCCACCCCTTTCAGAGGCCATGGAGGAAGCCAAGGTCACAGAAGTTCCCCACCTGGAGCGGAGGGTCCGGCAGCGGAAAGAGCCCATGACCGTTCTGAAGACCAAGCTGAGCCGTAGCCTGTCCTGCTCTGTGCCCAGGGTCAAGAACACCTTGACTGGGTTCTTCCCTGTGGTGCTCTGGCTTCCCAAGTACAAGCTGAAAGAGTATATCTGGGGTGATCTCATGTCAGGCCTCATCATAGGCATCATCCTGGTCCCTCAGGCCATCGCCTACTGCCTGCTGGCCGGAGTGGACCCTATCTATGGCCTCTACACCTCCTTCTTCGCCAACATCATCTACTTCTTCATGGGGACCTCCAGGCACGTGTCTGTGGGCATCTTCAGTCTGATGAGCCTCATGGTGGGCCAGGTGGTGGACAGAGAGGTGTATATGGCAGGGTTCGAGCTGGATGACACCAAAGCAGCCACCGTAGATGGAATCTTAAATGTAACAGGAGACTCAGACAGCTCAGCCATCAACCTGAAAATGGGGGCCTTCGGCATGGAGTGTGGGAAAGAATGTTATGCCATCAGCATCGCAGCAGCCTTGACATTTTTGGCTGGGATTTACCAGGTACAGTTTCAACTACTCTGATTGATTCAGCACTCTCAAAACTGCTTTCAAAATTGAGTGGAACAGATGTAACGATTGCTTTTATGAAGTTAAATCAGTTAATAGACTTGATTAAACACTCATGTTCTAAACATCATAAATCACCTCACATCAAAGATGACTGTGCTGAATATTAACCTTTAGATTAGATTAAATTAACTATCTGATAAACATGGTTGTCTCCTTCCAGGTATTGATGGCTGTGTTCAGACTGGGCTTCGTATCCGTCTACCTCTCTGCTCCCATGCTGGACGGCTTCGCCACAGGCGCATCGCTCACCATCCTCACCGTCCAAGCCAAGTACCTACTGGGGCTCAAGATCCCTCGCCACCAGGGCTACGGCACCGTGGTGGTCACCTGGATCAATATCTTCAGGAACATCCAGAACACCAACTACTGTGACCTCATCACCAGCATCATCTGCATCTCTGTCCTGGTGTTGGGGAAGGAGCTCCAAGATCGCTACAAGGATCGTCTGAAGATCCCACTGCCCACAGAGCTGGTAGTGGTGGCGGGCGCTACACTGGCGTCCCACTTTGGAGACTTTCACGGACGGTACGACTCCGGTGTCTCTGGTGCTATCCCCACAGGCTTCATCCCCCCTAAGGTGCCCAGTTTTGGTCTGATGCCCCAGGTGGCCTTCGATGCCATCCCACTGGCTGTGATCAGCTTTGCCTTCACGGTTTCCCTCTCGGAGATGTTTGCCAAGAAGAACGGCTACACCGTCCGGCCCAACCAGGAGATGATGGCCATTGGTTTCTGTAACATTATCCCTTCCTTCTTCCACTGTTTCACCACCAGCGCTGCCCTGGCTAAGACTATGGTGAAAGACTCCACGGGCTGCCAGACTCAGGTCTCCAGCATTGTAAGTGCCTTTGTCGTTCTCCTGGTCCTGCTCTTCTTCGCCCCCCTCTTTTACTCCCTCCAGAAGTGCGTCCTGGCCTGTATCATCATTGTCAGCCTGAGGGGAGCTCTCCGTAAGTTCAGAGACGTGCCCAGTAAGTGGCGCGTCAGTAAGATGGACGCTATCGTCTGGATGGTGACTATGAGTGCCTCAGCTCTGATCAGTGTGGAGATGGGGCTGGTGGTTGGGGTAGTTTTTCTCTATCCTCTGTGTCATCGTCCAGACCCAGAAGCCCAAGGTTTCTCTGCTAGGACAGATCCATGACACTGTCCACTACGAGGATATGGAGGAGTATGAAAACCTCATGTCCCTCCCTAAAGTGAAGATCTTCCGCTTCCAGGCCCCGCTGTACTATGCAAACAAGGACTTCTTCCTGAAGTCGCTGTACAAGGCCGTTGGCGTGGAACCCTTCCTGGAGATGACCAGGAGGAGGGAAGCAGAGAAAAAAGCAGAGAAAATGGCAGCGAAGGAAGCCAGGAGAGCCGACAAGACTAATGGAGAGGTGAATGTAGGGCTGGTGTCCAGAGAACTTGATTTCCACACTATCATCTTAGACTGCTCTGCCATGCCCTTCGTAGACTCAACAGGGATGCAAACCTTTAAAGGGATCATTAAAGACTATAAGGAGTTGGGTGTCACAGTGCTGCTAGCAAGCTGTAACACCACGGTCATAGATTCTCTCAGACAAGGCTCTTTCTTTGGGAAGGCTGACAAAGACATGGAAAGCTTGTCATTCTATACTGTACATGCGGCAGTTCAATTTGCCAATGAAAGGGTAACATCTAGATCTATTGGTGACTCAGTGGTATAGACCAGAGCCATATACACTGCTAAAAAAAATAAAGGGAACACTAAAATAACACATCCTAGATCTGAATGAATGAAATAATCTTATTAAATACTTTTTTCTTTACATAGTTGAATGTGCTGACAAGAAAATCACACAAAAAGTATCAATGGAAATCAAAATGTATCAACCCATGGAGGTCTGGATTTGGAGTCACCCTCAAAATTAAAGTGGAAAACCACAATACAGGCTGATCCAACTTTGATGTAAAACAAGTCAAAATGAGGCTCAGTAGTGTGTGTGGCCTACACGTGCCTGTATGACCTCCCTACAACGCCTGGGCATGCTCCTGATGAGGTGGCGGATGGTCTCCTGAGGGATCTCCTCCCAGACCTGGACTAAAGCATCCGCCAACTACTGGACAGTCTGTGGTGCAACGTGGCGTTGGTGGTTGGAGTGAGACATGATGTCCCAGATGTGCTCAATTGGATTCAGGTCTGGGGAACGGGCGGGCCAGTCCATAGCATCAATGCCTTCCTCTTGCAGGAACTGCTGACACACTCCAGCCACATGAGGTCTAGCATTGTCTTGCATTAGGAGGAACCCAGGGCCAACCGCACCAGCATATGGTCTCACAAGGGGTCTGAGGATCTCATCTCGGTACCTAATGGCAGTCAGGCTACCTCTGGCGAGCACATGGAGGGCTGTGCGGCCCCCCAAAGAAATACCACCCCACACCATGACAGACCCACCGCCAAACCGGTCATGCTGGAGGATGTTGCAGGCAGCAGAACGTTCTCCATGGCGTCTCCAGACTCTGTCACGTCTGTCACATGTGCTCAGTGTGAACCTGCTTTCATCTGTGAAGAGCACAGGGCGCCAGTGGCGAATTTGCCAATCTTGGTGTTCTCTGGCAAATGCCAAACGTCCTGCACGGTGTTGGGCTGTAAGCACAACCCCCACCTGTGGACGTCGGGCCCTCATACCACCCTCATGGAGTCTGTTTCTGATTGAGCAGACACATGCACATTTGTGGCCTGCTGGAGGTCATTTTGCAGGGCTCTGGTAGTGCTCCTCCTGCTCCTCCTTGCACAAAGGCAGAGGTAGCAGTCCTGCTGCTGGGTTGTTGCCCTCCTACGGCCTCCTCCACGTCTCCTGATGTACTGGCCTGTCTCCTGGTAGCGCCTCCATGCTCTGGACACTACGCTGACAGACACAGCAAACCTTCTTGCCACAGCTCGCATTGATGTGCCATCCTGGATGAACTGCACTACCTGAGCCACTTGTGTGGGTTGTAGACTCCGTCTCATGCTACCACTAGAGTGAAAGCACCGGCAGCATTCAAAAGTGACCAAAACATCAGCCAGGAAGCATAGGAACTGAGAAGTGGTCTGTGGTCACCACCTGCAAAACCAGTCCTTTATTGGGGGTGTCTTGCTAATTGCCTATAATTGCCACCTGTTGTCTATTCCATTTGCACAACAGCATGTGAAATATATTGTCAATCAGTGTTGCTTCCTAAGTGGACAGTTTGATTTCACAGAAGTGTGATTGACTTGGAGTTACATTGTGTTGTTTAAGTGTTCCCTTTATTTTTTTTTAGCAGTGTATATCCAAATAAATGGATATGTAAATAAATGGCTCTGGTCAGGGGTGGATTGGCCTACTGGAAATTCTGGCAAATGCCAGAAAGGCTGGACCATTTTTTAGTTGGGTGGCTCGGTCGAAATTGACACACCCAAACATTATTTTTTATATAAATATAAAACAATGAAAAAGGTGACATGGACGGTGTCCCATGGGCCTGGTAGCCCTTTACACTCACAGTCCCTGTCATCCCCTACACGGGTTGGAAATGACAGATTTGGTCACTGATAAGCGCCTAAATTGGAACGCAGTGGCTGTACAGTAACATGCTATACATTACATCAGAGCTCAGGCTCTTCACTTTACAACACTATATGGGATTCAACTGACAGTCGATCTAAACATGTACCACGCACAACAAAAAGATGCCCCCATCCCTCCATGTTATATTTGAATAATAAGACTAGCAAGCATTTGTACAGTGATGAACATGTGTCAGTGATAATGTTAATGCACTGGATGTTTTATAGGGGATTTATGATTGACCATCCAATTACTAAACAAGGGAGAATCAATCTATTTTATGTTTCATTTTGAGTTTGGCTAGGACAGACTCCCCATAACATATACATGTCGACTTCACCATTTATTTTCTAACACACAACCTCCAGTTTCTATTCCAATATTGCACCGTTATCTAAAGATTTTCAATATAAGTTGATGTTTCAGATTAACTTTAAAAGTTTGGAATCTTATCAAATAATTATTTAAATCTTCTTAAAATTGTATTTTATATTACTTTGTAGAGTCGTGGGTGCTTGAATGTGTTTATATACTGTGCATCTGTGTTATCAATAGAAACAACAATTTTGTATAAAGTATCAGTAAATTCATGGTTTAATAAACTACTACAATACTAGCTATGTATAATTTAAATGACTAATGATTTGGAGACTACGACGTTATAATGAATGTTAGTCCTTTTCAGTTGCCAATTCACTTGACAGACAGTGTGTCAATGATTAACTGGAAAATAACAGAATGCAACATTGGAACACATCCTCTGTGCTCAACCTTTACAGGCCTACTACTGTTCGGTCATTTCACAATTTGCTGTCAGTATGACAGAAAGAATCGTTAACTTTGGACATTGGCATGCATCATGCTGACTTTTCATATTGCAGGTTCAAACATCTCACCAGAGTACTACAGACATTGAGCTGTCCTGACTCATTATTCAACATTATTGAATGCACAGACTGTGTATCCATCTAATCAGCAATAGCTACCAACAAATAACATTGATATGGCGTGTGACGTACATTTTATACAAATATTTTGACTTTGTATAGTACTGAAGTGAAAATGCAATGTAGCCTACTGTCCACTTGATGGAGGCAGAAAGCCTCCTGACCAAAGTGAGAAAGTGGGCGTGTCATTGGTGAGTGAATAGCCAATCACAGCCCTTCTTGAACAAGGAACCCATTTTTGAATTTTTATCACAAACAGCAGAAACGGTACTGCTTCGGCACCGCTGAGTTGACATTTCAAACCAGCCAGCCATCTATACGTCTTTTTGTATAAAAAAAGTTATATTCTTCAATAGCTACCTATTTTTCCTTCATTGTTTTCGGAGAAGCTATGTCCAGTCGGAGGAGGTACGTTCAAGTTGACTTGCTAAAGTATGCTAACGTTAGTACAGTACATAGACTCAGTTAGCTGCATCAATGAGTTTGGTTGAATAAAATGAGAAGTTGCTTCCACAATACAAATAGCTAATGGCATTGCAGCATTGCCGAGATAGGGGAAATGTTCAAACCTTTGCTAGCTAACAGAGGACTAACGCTAATTTTTGATACTGTTTTACTAACTAGCCAGCTGTGTGTGTAAGCGCTGGTCCAGGGCGTTACGTGCGGCATAATATAAATAATATGCCATTTAGCAGACGCTTTTATCCAAAGCGACTAACAGTCATGTGTGCATACATTTTTACGTATGGGTGGTCCCGGGGATCGAACCCTCTACCCTGGCGTTACAAGCGCCATGCTCTACCAATTGAGCTACAGAGGACCACATGAGCGTTCTTCTACGCCAGGGTTCTTCAATTCCGGTCCTGGAGGGCCTAAACACTTCTGTTTTTTTATTTCTACCTGGTAGTTAATTGCACTCACCTGGTGTCCCAGGTCTGAATTAGCCCCTGATTAGAAGGAGAGGATGAAAAACAGAGGTGTTTCGGCCCTCCAGGACCGGAATTGAAGAACCCTGTTCTACGCTCTTCATCTTTACATTCATCCCTAGATGGATTTCCCCCGTAATATTGACACACTTCCATTACTCACCAAAATAAAGATGCTACTGTAACTGTTGTTGACGAACCTTTCTCTGCCAGAACCGCCAGACTAGTTATGTCTGGCCCATCCGTCGTAGTGCAGATCCAACGCATGCGCTTGGACCAGAGCTAGTCTGGCGGTAAACAAAGTGTTCAACAGTGGCGGCTCCTGAAAAAATTCTCAGGGGGGGCAATTTTTCTGATGATTTAGGTGACCTACACACATTTTAAAAAAGATATGTCCAGCAACAACATGAAGACAGGGGCAGCATATAAGTCAATACCAGAAGCATTTATTGACTGATCTCAAAAGTGTTGGCTTACCAGGGTTGGTGGAGCCCTCAGTTTCATCTTTGCCTCGCAAAGCTAACTCAAACACTCCGCAAAACTTCACACACTGGATTAGCCGGCTGAGGATGTGGCGGTTCTTGCTAATGTCGTAGTAAATATATTTGTTATAGTGAATATGGAATATGATATGTTGAGTAAAATGTTGTGCTAAGATCTATTTAGGTCAGGAGCTGGTTATAAGTTCTGTTCCTATCCAATAACAATGGACAAAAGGGTCCTATCTTGTCAGCCTTGTCAGTTTCAGTTCTCCAGTAAACTTGTGATTATCAACACTAACCTCATCGTTGTGGCGGCGGACAGCTAGCCTGTATCCCTCATCCAGTTGAGTGGGAATGTTCACTCTCCCCAAAGCAGACAATCTCAAACAGGTATCAATGTGGGTCTTTGACAGCTCATGTTTCTTAATCTTTCCTGAAAGATGGTGCATGTCCGTTACACACCAGTCGCTGTCCAAGCGGTGCTGTCTGCCGTGCCGCCTTCAGGGTGAAAGAGCAAGCAGGGGGTAGCAGAAGACTGCATTAGCTACATCGCAGCCTGCTAGCCAGGTTTTTCGTTCGTACCAATTTTTGGAAAATCCTCGGGTGTAGGACTTCCCCCCTTTAGTAGAAACCTGTTGAATTATTAAATTTGGTCTGGGAGGTCCTAATTGTTTCGTTGCCAATTTATCTTCATTTGTTCGCCGACAAAAAGGAACTTCTTTCAAAGACACAATCGAGTTGCACTGAAGCCTAGCCATTTTGACAGTAATAGTGAATTGATTGACGCTGCTACCCGCTCTTTTCTTAGTTACGTTCATGGTTATGTTACGTATGACGAAAGCGCGTAAGTGCAAGCCCTCAGAAACCCATAGAGATTGTATTGAAAGCTCTGATATTTGAAAAAAATAGATTTTACATGGGAGTCTATGACAGACTTCTGGGCGATTTTCAACCTGACTGAAATCGCCCCAAAAGGGGGGGGGGGGGGGCATTTGAAGCACGACTTTAACCTGATTGGACATTTAGTGGCACTGTGGCAGATCAGACGTCTAGATTACAACACTGATAACTACTGTTGCCGTGATATAATTGATTAGAAAAAAAATCTCTTCCTTTTCCCTTTTGGCAGTGCGTCGCCCATATCGCCCTATTGAACACACCGCCCCTGGTGTTCAAAATACCTAGTTATATGTTTGATAACTAGCTACCTAGCCAGCTTAAGTTACCAAATGTGAATGTCTTGTCACTCATCTCTGCAGTGAAGCCCTGGCTTTCTCGCTAGTGACGGGTATAAACCATGCCATGGCCAGGCTGGTGGACATCTGGGACAGCATAGGCATTATGGAGGAGCAGAGGGTAGAGCGAATGGAGACTGTGAAGAAACACATTGAGGTGAGGCTTTAGAAAACAGTATATTCAGATGAACTGAATGTTACCGAAGCCTCGTCAAATAGTTAATTAACCAACTATGACATTCCTTTCCTAAAGGGCCTTTTGAATGACATGATCATAGAGGAGGAAGCCTTGAAGCACCGCATCCGGGCCAATATAATCACTTTTAAAAAACAGCTGGAGACCTTGTGCCTGGAAATGTCAACGGAACCATACAAAGTAAGTGATACTTTAAGGCTTTTAATAATCAACAACATTGTTAGCTGCTTCCTCTGCTTGACTCCTTCCCTTCCTTTGTACTGACCTCCTTTCTCCATCTTGTCCACCTGTCAGTTGGAGGAGGGCCTGACAGTCCTCCAGATCGAGAAGAACCTCCGTCTGCGTGTGGACGTTCTGACCAAGGAGAAGGGGGAGCGTTTGAAGGAGCTACACGGACTGCAGCAGCAGGATAAGGAACTGTGTGTGGAGCTGTGCATCACGCCCTATTACATCCCCACTGGCAGCATGCCATCTCGCACACAGCTGCAGGAGCTCCGGGAGCACATCCAGACCCTCAGCGAGGAAAAGGTATTGTAATGGCTGCAGGCCAGGGGGAAGATTTGGGTTTAGTATGAATGTCATGTTGAATCTCCTATTGTCTTTAGAAAGCAACATTATTATTCAAAATGTCACTTTATGTCTCAACTGCTCATTACTGGTATATTTGAAAACATCTAACCTCTTGTCCTGTAGAAGAGTCGTGCACAGGTGTTCTCAGGTCTGCGTGAGGACATCAGGAAGCTGATGGAGGAGATGGGTCATGAACCAGAGACTAGCCTGGAGAAAGAGTCTGTGTGCCACGACGAGGAGACATTCCTGCTCACTAATGAAAACATCAAAGCCCTCAAACTGCTGCTCTCCCAGGTACTGAAAATAATCTAGCCACACTACTAATGATTACTTAAAAATTATATTGAATCTAGTGTGACTTCTAGGTCTGGGCCAATAGTATTTGTATCATTTTGTGTAGATGGAAGTCAAGAAGGAATCCCTGACGAATACTCTAGCTGAGCTGAAAGAACGAGCCATGTGCCTGTGGAATCGTCTGGAAGCGCTGGAGCAAGACCACAATGTGTTCCAAGAGAGTGTGCAGGGTACCCTTTCTGACCAAATCACACAGGTTGGAACTCACTCCTTCTTCATACCTCTACTTCACCACTGTGTTGGACAAAGCTTCACCTGCATACCACACACAGCTGTTCAAAACAGTAAACATTGCACTTTGACTATAATGTTGCCTCAGACTTAGCTAACAAGGGAACAGAACAGAGATGGTGCTAGTACGCCACAGTGTTTGAGACAGTCCTGTACCCGGGTAGTGTTCATTAGGGAACACCGAAAACAAAAATGTGGGTTTCTTATAGTAACTCCTCCTTATCACTGTTTTTGAGCATTGCTTTCCTTTTTCTTCTTACTGAACCTGACCATGTTGTCCCGTCCAGTGGCAGGGAGAGGTAGACCGTCTGACAGAACTGCAGAAGGCCAGGCTGGAGGATGTGATTGAAAATGTCCGACAGGAACTAGTGGCCAGCTGGGACAAGTGCAACCTGGGCCCTGAGCAGAGGGAACCCTTCAACGTCCACTTCTGTGACAGTGAGTAGAACAACACTATGAAATCTCACGCTCACACACAAAACACACATACATACTGATCGAACCAATCCGTCTTTCCCTAGATAACTTCACAGAGGAGTTGTTGGCGCTGCATGATGCTGCGCTATTGAAGGTGAAGAATTATTACGACCAGGTAAAGCCCTTACTGGAGGCCCTGCAGAAATGGGAGAAGTACTGGGCCGTCTTCCAGGACTTTGAGGTACTGCTTGTATTTGCGGTCAAGTTATGTTTGTGAAATAAATTGCAACGTTTTGTAAAATTGTGCATGTAATCAAGGGCTGTCCGCGACCCAAAAAAATCTTGGTCGATGGAGAGTTGACTTTTCTTTCGACCAATCGATTGGTTGAAATGTTAAAAGGTGTATTTTTCCCTATATAGACACCCTATGTGTTTTAATGAAATCAACTAGCCTATATGTAGGCTAATGAGCTTGTCTTATGCTTTAAGCACAGTGATTAAATAATGAAGACACACATGAGTTGAGGGAGCCAGAGATCAAGATAGCCTAACCAGAAGAGAGAGAAAAAAGGGTTCACGACCCTCCTCCTCCCCCTTGCTGCTGGCCTTCACAGATTCTGTCGTTAAGCTCCTGAAGTTGCCGGTAATAGGCTACACCAGCAGTTGGCAACCTTTTCCATTTGGAGTGCCAATTTATCTTAGCATTTCTACCGATCTGCGTGCCAGTTATGATTTTCATATGCACATTTTCGTGGAACAGTTTAATTTAATTTATAACAAAGTCTTCGTATCTCAATCATTATGTGGTTAATCAAAATTCTAAAAGTAACTTCTATTGCAATTGCCAACTATGTAGACGTAAAATAGCCTACATGAAGACAACAAATGAAACATTGCAGCCTGCAGGTAGATCCCCAAATAGGCCTACGTTTGCGTGCAGGCCAGGTAGTCTAGGCCTACTTCTATACATAATCCAGTGTGCGTCCTTAATCAACATTGACAGGAGAGCTACAAACAAAAGACAATGAATAAATGGACAACTTGTAAATGGTATGAATTAAACCAAAACTTGTTCCTCATAAGCGTAGCCTAGGTTGTGCGGTCCGCAAACAATGTGTCCACTCCGACAATGAGAACGGTAAAAGACTGTAATAATAATATATTGAATGCATTAACAGAAATTACCTTAACCAAACAAATGTTGTAGATTCTAACGGTAAATGTACTACTGGTGTGCCATCCCCGCGGCCTCCGCAATGGATTAGTCCACTGAGACAGGCATGAATCAGACGGTTGTCTCGTGTACCATACATAAAAAAATAAAATAAAAAAGTATATACAGTACCAGTCAAAAGTTTTGACACACCTACTCATTCAAGGGTTTTCTCTATTTTTACTGTTTTCTTCATTGTAGAAAAATAGTGAAGACATCAAAACTATAAAAAATAACACATATGGAATCATGTAGTAACCAAAAAAGTGTTCAACAAATCAAAATATATTTTAGATTCTTCAAAGTAGCCACCCTTTGCCTTGATGACAGCTTTGCACACTGTTACCATTCTCTCAACCAGCTTAACCTGGAATGCTTTTCCAACAGTCTTGAGGGCGTTCCCACATATGCTGAGCACTTGTTGGCTGCTTTTCCTTTGCTCTGCGATCCAACTCATCCCAAACCATCTCAATGGGGTTGAGGTCGGGTGATTGTGGAGGCCAGGTCATCTGAAGCAGCACACCATCACTATCCTTCTTGGTCAAATAGCCCTTACACAGCCTAGAGGTGTGTTGGGTCATTGTCCTGTTGAAAAACAAATGATAGTTCAACTAAGGGCAAAACAAATGGGATGGTGTTTTGCTGCAGAATGTTGTGGTAGCCATGCTGGTTAAGTGTGCCTTGAATTCTAAATAAATCACTGACAGTGTCACCAGCAAAGCACCATCACACCACCTCCTCCATGCTTCTCGGTGGGAACCACACATGCATAGATCATCCGTTCATCTACGCTGCGTCTCACAAAGACACGGCGGTTGGAACCAAAAATCTCACATTTGGACTCATCAGACCAAAGGACAGATTTCCACCGGTCTAATGTCCATTGCTCGTGTTTCTTGGCCCAAGCAAGTATCTTCTTCTTATTGGTGTCCTTTAGTAGTGGTTTCTTTGCAGCAATTCGACCATGAAGGCCTGATTCACGCAGTCTCCTCTGAACAGTTGATGTTGAGATGTCTGTTACTTGAAACATTTATTTGGGCTGCAATCTGAGGTGCAGTTAACTCTATTGAACTTATCCTCTGCAGCAGAAGTAAGTCTGGGTCTTCCTTTCCTGTGGCGGTCCTCATGAGAGCCAGTTTCATCATAGCGCTTGATGGTTTTTGCTTCTGCACTTGAAGAAACTTTCAAAGTTCTTTACATTTTCCGTATTGACTGACCTTCATGTCTTAAAGTAATGCTGGACTGTCATTTCTCCTTGCTTATTTGAGCTGTTCTTGCCATAAAATTGACTTGGTCTCTTACCAAATAGGGCTATCTTCTGCATATCACCCCTACCTTGTCACAACACAACTGATTGGCTCAAACGCATTAAGAAGGAAAGAAATTCCACAAATTAACTTTTAACAAGCCACACCTGTTAATTTAAATGCATTCCAGGTGACTACCTCATGAAGCTGGTTGAGAGAATGCCAAGAGTGTGCAAAGCTGTCATCAAGGCAAAGGGTGAATACTTTGAAGAATCTCAAATATAAAATATATTTTGATTTAACACTTTTTGGGTTACTACATGATTCCATATGTGTTATTTCATAGCTATGATGTTTTCACTATTATTCTACATTGTAGAAAATAGTACAAATAAAGAAAACCCCTTGAATGAGTAGGTGTGTCCAAACTTTTGACTGGAAATGTGTATATACACAGTGCATTCGGGAAGTATTCAGTCCCCTTTCTTTTTCCACATTTTGTTACGGTACAGCCTTATTCTAAAATTGATGACATATTTTTTCCTCATCAATCTACACACAATACCCCATAATGACAAAGCAAAAACAGGTTGTTAGATTTTTTTGCTAATTTATTACACAGAAAAAACAAATACCTTATTTACATAACTATTCAGTCCCTTTGCTATGAGCCTTGACACACACCTGTCTATATAAGGTCCCACAGTTGACCGTGCATGTCAGAGCAAAAACCAAGTCATGAGGTCGAAGGAATTGTCTGTAGAGCTCCGGGACAGGATTGTGTTGAGGCACAGATCTGGGGAAAGGTACCAAAACATTCAAGCGGCATTGAAGGTCCCCATCATTCTTAAATGGAAGAAGTTTGGAACCACCAATACTCTTCCTAGAGCTGGCTGCCCGGCCAAACAGAGCAATCGTGAAAGAAGGGCTTTGGTCAGGGAGGTGACCAAGAACCTGATTGTCACTCTGACAGAGTTCCAGAGTTCCTCTGTGGAGCTGCGACAACCTTCCAGAAGGACAACCATCTTTGCAGCACTCTACCAATCAGGCCTTTATGGTAGAGTGGCCAGACGGAAGCCATTCCTCAGTAAAAGGCACATGACAGACTGCTTGGAGTTTGCCAAAAGGCACCTAAAGGACTCTGACCATGAGAAACAACATTCTCTGGTCTGATGTAACTAAGATTGAACTCTTTGGCCTGATTGCCAAGCGCCACGTCTGGAGGAAACCTGGCTCTATCCCTACGTTAAAGCATAGTGGTGGCAGCATCATGCTGTTGGGATGTTTTTCAGCGGCAGTGACTGGGAGGCTAGTCAGGATCGAGGGAAAGATGAACGGAGCAAAGTAAAGAGATTCTTGATGAAAACCTGCTCCAGAGCGCTCAGGACCTCAGACTGGGGGGAAGGTTCACCTTCTAACAGTACAACGACCCTATGCACACAGCCAAGACAACGCAGGAGTGGCTCCGGGACAAGTCTCTGAATGTCCTTGAGTGGCCCAGCCAGAGGTCGGACTTGAACCCAATCGAACATCTCTGGAGAGACCTGAAAAATAGCTGTGCCGCGACGCTCCCCATCCAACCTGCCAGTGCTTGAGAGGATCTGCAGAGAAGAATGGGAGGAACTCTCCAAATACAGGTGTGCCACGCTTATAGCGTCATACCCAAGGAGACTCGGGTGTAATCGCTACCAAAGGTGCTTCAACAAAGTACTGAGTAAAGGGTCTGAATACTTATGTAAATGTCATATTTCTGTTTTGTGTGTTTAATAAATTTGCTAACTTTTCTAAAAACCTGTTTTTGCTTTTTCATTGTGGGGTATTGTGTGTAAATTGATGAGAAAAATAATAATTTCATCCATTTTAGAATAAGGCTGTAACGTAAGAAAATGTGGAAATAGTCAAGGGGTCTGAATTCTTTCCGAATACACTGTGTGTATATTTTATTTTAGTTTGCAGCAAATCCAAAACAGATTACATTAGGGTTGACCCCATTTATTTGAGTGGTCGATAGGCTGTTGATCGACCAATATTTGTTTTTAGTCGAGCAGTAACAAAAATATATATATTATGTTTTTTGGGCTGCTGCTCGACTAAAAAAGAATCTTGGCCGACTAAATGGGGTCAGCACTAATGTAATCTGTTTTGGATTTGCTGTAAACTAAAATAAATATCCACAGTAGATACTAAACAACAAGCTGCTCTTTTTCTGATACATGTTCAGTGTGTTGCTAATTTTGTTAATTATATAATTTGACAAAATATATAATCTATTACTCAAACTTCTCTTTGCAGAAAAAGGCCAATGATCCAAACCGCTTCTCCAACAGAGGAGGAGCCCTTCTTAAAGAGGCCAAAGAGAAGGTCAAAATTCAAAAGATGCTGCCAAAGGTAAGGCTGGATGTGATTTAAGTCAACATGTCCTTCTATAAATTTGTATGGCTGTTGGCTTCACAGTCTGAAGGAAAGTTATACCATTCATTCATCTCTGACAATTATTTTGACCTAATTTAAAATGAATTGAAGTTGTAGAAATTATAGTCTTCTTATTTTTACATATAAAATATTATGTTTATGAAAAGTGGCAGACATGGTTGATGATGGTAATCAAACAATCTCCTTCTGAGTTGAGGCACTTTGCAGTTGAGCGTTAATTCAGCACAGCTTCTATTCACAACCGCTCACTGGAGCATCCAATGATCGGTTCAAGGTCATTCTCATATGCTGCTTATTATGGTGGTGTCAGTGTAGTTGTGGTCTTATGTAAAATGCCAATGACGTTACAGTGCATTCAGAAATTCCATCATTCTTAAATGGAAGAAGTTTGGAAGAAGAAGGAAACCTGGCACCATCCCTACGGTGAAGCATGGTGGTGGCAGCATCATGCTGTGGGGATGTTTTTCAGCGGCAGGGATTGGAGACTAGTCAGGATCGAGGGAAAGATGAACGGAGCAAAGTACAGAGAGAGCCTTGATGAAAACCTTCTCCAGAGCGCTCAGGACCTCAGACTGGGGTGAAGGTTCACCTTCCGACAAGACATTGACCCTAAGCACACAGCCAAGGCAATTCAGGAGTGGCTTCTGGACAAGTCTCTGAATGTCCTTGAGGGGCCCAGCCAGAGCCCGGACGAACTTAATCGAACATCTCTGGAGAGACCTGAAAATAGCTATGCAGCGACGCTCCCCATCCAACCTGACAGAGCTTGAGAGGATCTGCAGAGAAGAATTGGAGAAACTCTCCAAATACAGGTGTGCCAAGCTTGTAACGTCATACCCAAGAAGACTCAAGGCTGTATTCACTGCCAAAGCTGCTTCAACAAAGTACTAAGTAAAGGGTCTGAATACTTATGTAAATGTACTATTTCAGTCTTATTTTTAAGACATTTGCAAAAAAAATCTAAAAACCTGTTTTTGCTTTGTTATTATGGGGTATTGTTTGTAGATTTTATGGGGGGGGGGTAAATTTTAGAATAAGGCTGTAATGTAACAAAATAAGAATAGAGTCAAGGGGTCTGAATTCTTTCCAAATGCACTGTAATGGCCAGTGACTTGTGTATATACAGTGGCTTGCGAAAGTATTCAGCCCCCCTTGACATTTTTCCTATTTTGTTGCCTTACAACCTGGAATTAAAATTGATTTTGGGGGGGGGGTTGTATCATTTGATTTACAATATGCCTACCACTTTGAAAATGCAAAATATTTGTTTTGGTGAAACAAACAAGTTATAAGACAGAAAAACTGAACTTGAGCGTGCATAACTATTCACCCCCCCCCCCCCCCCAAAGTCAATACTTTGTAGAGCCACCTTTTGCAGCAATTACAGCTGCAAGTCTCTAGGGGTATGTCTGTATAAGCTTGGCACATCTAGCCACTGGGATTTTTGCCCATTCTTCAACGCAAAACTGCTCCAGCTCCTTCAAGTTGGATGGGTTCCGCTGGTGTACAGCAATCTTTAAGTCATACCACAGATTCTCAATTGGATTGAGGTCTGGGCTTTGACTAGGCCATTCCAAGACATTTAAATGTTTCCCCTTAAACCACTCAAGTGTTGCTTTAGCAGTATGTTTAGGGTCATTGTCCTGCTGGAAGGTGAACCTCTGTCCCAGTCTTAAATCTCTGGAAGACTGAAACAGGTTTCCCTCAAGAATTTCCCTGTATTTAGCGCCATCCATCATTCCTTCAATTCTGACCAGTTTCCGAGTCCCTTCCGATGAGAAACATCCCCACAGCATGATGCTGTCACCACCATGCTTCACTGTGGGGATGGTGTTCTCAGGGGTATGAGAGGTGTTGGGTTTGCGCCAGACATTTTCCTTGATGGCCAAAAAGCTCAATTTTAGTCTCATCTGACCAGAGTACCTTCTTCCATATGTTTAGGGAGTCTCCCACGTGCCTTTTGGCGAACACCAAACGTGTTTGCTTATTTTTTTCTTTAAGCAATGGCTTTTTTCTGTCCACTCTTCCGTAAAGCCCAGCTCTGTGGAGTGTATGGCTTAAAGTGGTCCTATGGACAGATACTCCAATATCCGCTGTAGAGCTTTGCAGCTCCTTCAGGGTTATCTTTGGTCTCTTTGTTGCCTCTCTGATTAATGCCCTCCTTGCATGGTCCGTGAGTTTTGGTGGGCGGCCCTCTCTTGGCAGGTTTGTTGTGGTGCCATATTCTTTCCATTTTTTTATAATGGATTTAATGGTGCTCCGTGGGGAAGTTTCTGATCTTTTTTATAACCCAACCCTGATCTGTACTTCTCCACAACTTTGTCCCTGACCTGTTTGGAGAGCTCCTTGGTCTTCATGGTGCCGCTTGCTTGGTGGTGCCCCTTGCTTAGTGGTGTTGCAGACTCTGGGGCCTTTCAGAACAGGTGTATATATACTGAGATCATGTGACACTTAGATTGCACACAGGTGGACTTTATTTAACTAATTATGTGACTTCTGAAGGTAATTGGTTGCACCCGATCTTATTTAGGGGCTTCATAACAAAGGGGGTGAATACATATGCTCGAACCACATTTCCGTTATTTATTTTTTAGAATAATTTGAAACAAGTAATTTTTTTCACTTCACCAATTTGGACTATTTTGTGTATGTCCATTACATGAAATCCAAATAAATATCCATTTAAATGACAGGTTGTAATGCAACAAAAAAGGAAAAACGCCAAGTGGGATTTTTTTTTTGCAAGGCTCTGTAAGGGCTTTTGACAAAGGAAAAGTGACGTTGTTTCTCCCTGTTATGTGATGTGACCAGTTGGAGGAAGTGCTGAGGACGGGGGTTGAAGTCTGGGAGAAGGACCAGGGCTCTGCCTTCCTGGTCCAGGGCCAGAGAGTCATGACCTACATCTCCAGCCAATGGGAGGAGCACAAGCAGCAGAGGGGCAAGGAGAAAAGTGAACGTGCCGCCGTAAGTCCATCCCCCTCCTTATTCTCTCCCATAGAGACACTTGAAACCCTACCTCTTTTAAAGAATACCTGGAATAGTATAAAGTATAAATAGTATAAAGTCATCCTTCTACCCCCCCCCCCCCCCCATAAGTTGAATGCACCAATTTGTAAGTCGCTCTGGATAAGAGCGTCTGCTAAATGATGTAAATAGATTACCACAGTATGAGTAATAATCCCCATAAAACCTAGCAGTCAAACAGGGAAATGGTTTCAATCGTTTTTCCACCATGCATTTTTCCCATAGGGGATTTTATAAACACTTAAAATAAGGGCTGTGTTTCGTGTAGGCTTACTCTGGCATGACATTTTGATAACTGTGTAAATCTCTCTCGTACAAGGTGACTGTTTTTCATCACAAACTATCGTAAAACCATATCTCTCTGTTCCCATGTGCAAAAGGACAATTATTAAACTTACTGTGCTGAACTTAGATTTAAAATAGGCTTGTACAGAGTATGGTGGTCAGCATGTGTATCTGCCGAATGGCAGTGGTGGGAAAAGGGGATTTGACCATTCTGGGGGACTGATTGTTTGTTATTGACTGGTCCGTGACTGAGGCTTTGTTTGTGTCTGTGTTGAAGTTGCAGACATCAAAGAAGGGGGAGATGACGACTCTATTCAAAACTCCCACGAAGAGGGCCCATGGAGGGATAAATGGCCCCACCCCCAACAAGATCAGGAAGGTACTAGGGCTGGGAATTGCAAGGGACCTCACAATACGATATTAAATAAAAGTGCTGAAAACAAATTGGCTCACTATTTAAAAAAAGATGTAGAACAAGCTTTGAAGGAAAAATACTGGAGTTTTGGTGCAGGGACAGCTGACTAGCCCAAACATAATATTGCGATATTGTCTGAAAGAATATCCAGATATGTAATTGTAGAAGATACAGTAACTAGCACTTACAGTGGTCCACATGAGACTAGTTCAATCGCCTCCAAAACCAACTGGACACTTTATTATTGTGGTAACACTTATTTTTATATAATTGCGTAAAGTAAGAATGTCTCATGTTAAGAACCTTACATAGGTGGAACATTTTAAAGAAAGGTGTCACTAGTTTTACATGACCTTGACCCACACAGCCCTTCTTTCAGCAGACTCCTAGCCAGCTTACCAGGGTGCGGTCATCCAGCACCTTCATCAGTATGCCCAGCAGAAAGCCTCCTCTCTCCCAGGTTCAGATGCAGGTACACACCCAGCACTCACTCCAAACTGTTCTTGTGCTTGCACACTTATATCCAACTTGGATGGTGAACATCTTCCATTTATATAGCTGGACGACTATTAAGACAACCACTAGGTGATGCTGTTATAGCATTTTGCCTATTCGAGCGGTAATCCACTTTCCACAGTCTACCTAGCTTGTGAAAGACAAACAATATTGACAGATACATTAAAACTCGTCTTTAGAATCTAACCTCTTTCCAAGTTAATCATTCTGGTCAAGAGATGTAGAAATGTAATACTTCAGATGGATTCGATAGGTAAGCAGAGACTGCAGAGAAGGAAGTGTGCTGCATGTTCAGTTTGTTGACTCTGATGTGCCATGTTTGTTTGTGTCCACTCATTGGCTGAGCAGAAAACAAGGTCCCTGGAGAGCAGTAGCAGTCAGAGAACACCCCTGCTGGAGTACAACAGTACAGAGAGGAAACAACCTGTTGACATCAGCTACTCTGACTTCACTGTAAGAGCAGCATTTTAAACTAAACTCAGTGTTTCTCCTAGGATTTCTTTCAGCAGCTGTGGTGAAGTTAGCCTGGGCGGGGGGTGGGGGTCGTAGTTGGTGTGGCCAATGGTGAGGACTCCGACCCCAAAATATGTACAACCCTCTTGGCCGCAGATACATTTTGCCCTTATAAATCAAATGTCCTGCAATTTTGTCATGGGGTGGAGAGAAAATAGTACAGTTTCAAAGCTAGTTTCCTGCAATTCTACACAATTTGTCATGGCTTATGCCGTGTTGTTATGCTATCTGAGTGACTCAAACATTATAACAAAATCAGTTACATACATAGTCATGGTCAAAAGTTTTGAGAATGACACAAGTATTGATCTTCACAAAGTTTGCTGCTTCAGTGTTTTTAGATATTTTTTTCAGATGTTACTATTGTATACTGAAGTATAATTACAAGCATTCCATAAGTGTCAAAGGCTTTTACATTTATGCAAAGAGTCAATATTTGCAGTGTTGACCCTTCTTTTTCAAGACCTCTGCAATCCGCCCTGGCATGCTGTCAATTAACTTCTGGGCCACATCCTGACTGATGGCAGCCCACTCTTGCATAATCAATGCTTGGAGTTTGTCAGAATTTGTGGGGTTTTGTTTGTCCACCTGCCTCTTGAGGATTGACCACAAGTTCTCAATGGGATTAAGATCTGGGGAGTTTCCTGGCCATGGATCCAAAATGTCAATGTTTTGTTCCCCGAGCCACTTAGTTATCACTTTTGCCTTATGGCAAGGTGCTCCATCATGCTGGAAAAGGCATTGTTCGTCACCAAACTGTTCTTGGATGGTTGGGAGAAGTTGCTCTCTGAGGATGTGTTAGTACCGTTCTTTATTCATGGCTGTGTTCTTAGGCAAAATTGTGAGTGAGCCCACTCCCTTGGCTGAGAAGCAACCCCACACATGAATGGTCTCAGGATGCTTTACTGTTGGCATGACACAGGACTGATGGTAGCGCTCACCTTGTCTTCTCCGGACAAGGTGTTTTCTGGATGCCCCAAACAATCGGAAAGGGGATTCATCAGAGAAAATGACTTTACCCCAGTCCTCAGCAGTCCAATCCCTGTACCTTTTGCAGAATATCAGTCTGTCCCTGATGTTTTTCCTGGAGAGAAGTGGCTTCTTTGCTGCCCTTCTTGACACCAGGCCATCCTCCAAAAGTCTTCGCCTCACTGTGCGTGCAGATGCACTCACACCTGCCTGCTGCAATTCCTGAGCAAGCTCTGCACTGGTGGTGCCCCGATCCCACAGCTGAATCAACTTTAGGAGACGGTCCTGGCGCTTGCTGGACTTTCTTGGCCGCCCTGAAGCCTTCTTCACAACAATTGAACCTCTCTCCTTGAAGTTCTTGATCATCCGATAAATGGTTGATTTAGGTGCAATCTTACTAGCTGCAATATCCTTGCCTGTGAAGCCCTTTTTGTGCAAAGCAATGATGACGGCATGTGTTTCCTTGCAGGTAACCATGGTTAACAGAGGAAGAACAATGATTTCAAGCACCACCCTCCTTTTAAAGCTTCCAGTCTGTTATTCTAACTCAATCAGCATGACAGAGTGATCTCCAGCTTTGTCCTCGTCAACACTCTCACCTGTGTTAACGAGAGAATCACTGACATGATGTCAGCTGGTCCTTTTGTGGCAGGGCTGAAATGCAGTGGAATTTTTTGGGGGGGATTAAGTTCATTTTCATGGCAAAGAGGGACTTTGCAATTAATCTGATCACTCTTCATAACATTCTGGAGTATATGCAAATTACCATCATCAAAACTGAGGCAGCAGACTTTGTGAAAATTTATGTTTGTGTCATTCTCAAAACTTTTTACCACGACTGTGTGTGTGTGTGTGTATGTGTATGTATATATATATATATATATATATACATACACACACACACACACACACACACACACACATACTACTAGTTAAAAGTTTAGACACACCTACTCATTCAAGGGTTTTTCTTTATTTTTACTATTTTTTACATTGTAGAATAATAGTGAAGACATCAAAACTATGAAATAACACATGGAGTCATGTAGTAAACAAAGTGTTAAACAAATCAAAATATATTTTATATTTGAGATTCTTCAAATAGCCACCCTTTTCCTTGATGACAGCTTTGCACACTTGGCATTCTCTCAACCAGCTTCACCTGGAACGCTTTTCCAACAGTCTTGAAGGAGTTCCCACATATGCTGAGCACTTGTTGGCTGCTTTTCCTTCACTCTGCGGTCCGACTCATCCCAAACCATCTCAATTGGGTTGAGGTCTGGGGATTGTGGAGGCCAGGTCATCTGATGCAGCACTCCATCACTCTCCTTCTTGGTAAAATAGCCATTACACAGCCTGGAGGTGTGTTGGGTCATTGTCCTGTTGAAAAACAAATGATAGTCCCACTAAGCCCACACCAGATGGGATGGCGTATCGCTGCAGAATGCTGTGGTAGCCATGCTGGTTAAGTTTGCCTTGAATTCTAAATAATTCACAGACAGTGTCATCAGCAAATCACCCCCTCACCAAAACACCTCGTCCTCTTTGCTTTACGGTGGGAACTACACATGTCGAGATAATCCGTTCACCCACACCGCGTCTCACAAAGACACGGCGGATTGAACCAAAAATCTCAAATTTGGACTCCAGACCAAAGGACACATTTCCACCGGTCTAATGTTCATTGCTTGTGTTTCTTGGCCCGAGCAAGTCTCTTATTATTGGTGTCCTTTTTACTCCTGAGTGGCGCAGTGGTCTAAGGCACTGCATCGCAGTGCTAACTGTGTCACTAGAGATCCTGGTTCGAATCCAGGCTCTGTCGCAGCCGGCCGCGACCAGGAGACTCATGGGCGGCGCACAATTGGCCCAGCGTCGTCCAGGGTAGGGGAGGGAATGGCCGGCAGGGATGTAGCTCAGTTGATAGAGCATGGCGTTTGCAACGCCAGGGTTGCGGGTTCGATTCCCACGGGGGGCCAGTATTAAAAAAAAAAAAAAAAAAAATGTATTCACTAACTGTAAGTCGCTCTGGATAAGAGCGTCTGCTAAATGACTAAAATGTAAATGTAAATGTAAATGTAGTGGTTTCTTTGCAGCAATTCGACCATGAAGGCCTGATTCACACACTCTCCTCTGAACAGTTGATGTTGAGATGTGTCTGTTACTTGAACTCTGGGAAGCATTTATTTGGGCTGCAATTTCTGGGGCTGGTAACTCTAATGAACTTATCCTCTGCAGCAGAGGTAACTCCGGGTCTTCCATTCCTGTGGCGGTCCTCATGAGAGCCAGTTTATTCATAGCGCTTCATGGTTTTTGCGACTGCATTTGAAGAATCTTTAAAAGTTCTTGAAATGTTCCGTATTGACTGATTTTCATGTCTTAAAGTAATGATGGACTGTCATTTCTCTTTGCTTATTTGAGCTGTTGTGGCCATAATATGGACATGGTCTTTTACCAAATAGGGCTATCTTCTGTATACCCCCACAACCTTGTCACAACACAACTGATTGCCTCAAACACATTAAGAAGGAAATAAATTCCACAAATTAACTTTTAACAAGGCATACCTGTTAATTGAAATGCATTCCAGGTGACTACCTCATGAATCTGGTTGAGAGAATGCCATTAGTGTGCAAACTGTCATCAAGGCAAAGCGTTGCTACTTTGAAGAATCTCAAATATAAAATATATTTTGATTTGTTTAACACTTTTTGGGTTACTACATGATTCCATATGTGTTATTTCATGGTTTTGATGTCTTCACTAATATTCTACAATGTAAAAATAAAGAAAAACCCTTGAATGAGTAGGTGTGTCCAAACTTTTGACTGGTACTGTGTGTGTTTTATATATATATATATATAGCTCCATTATCATTTCTACATACTTTATAGATGGCTTTAGTCATTTAAGTTTACACTGAAAACTTTTTACTATCCCGAAATGTTTTATTTTTCATTTTGCCATAGGGCTGCTAAATGAATATAGGGGAAACACTGATACGCTGACTTCACTTTAAGACCAGATGTTTATTTTATTTTATTTTTATAGGATTTTGTTTTCCAGCTCTATAGTCAACCAATTAAATAAATTAAATAAACATGGCATTTTACAAAACAAAAGCAATTAATATATTATGATCTTTGAGAATATATTGTTAGACCAGCTTTTTAAACTATACTCTGACTTCACTGTAAGAACAGCCTTAAGACTGTGTCACTGTACTTCAATAATCTGGACACATGAATTTACACTGCATTTGGAAAGTATTCAGACCCCTTGACTTTTTCCACATTTTGTTATGTTACAGCCTTATTCTAAAATTGACCGTTTTTTTGAAAATTTTGCAAAAAAATGTGTATATATAAAAAAAATTATACCATATTTACATAAGTATTCAGACCCTTTGCTATGAGACTCGAAATTGAGCTCAGGTGCATCCTGTTTCCACTCTTCATCCTTGATGTTTCTACAACTTGGAGTCCACCTGTGGTAAAAGTTTGGAACCACCAAGACTCCTCCTAGAGCTGGCCGCCCGGCCAAACTAAGCAATCGGGGGAGAAGGTCCTTGGTCAGGTAGGTCACCAAGAACCGGATGGTCACTGACAGAGCTCCAGAGTTCCTCTGTGGAGATGGGAGCACCTTCCAGAAGGACAACTATCTCTGCAGCACTCCACCAATCAGGCCTTTATGGGAGAGTGGTCAGATGGAAGCCACTCCTCAGTAAAAGGCACATGACAGCCCGCTTGGAGTTTGCCAAAAGGCACCTAAATACTCAGACCATGAGAAACAAGATTCTCTGGTCTGATGAAACCAAGATTGTACTCTTTGACCTGAATGCCAAGCGCCACGTCTGGAGGAAACCTGGCACAATCCCTACGGTGAAGGATAGTGGTGGCAGCATCATGCTGTGGGGATGTTTTTCAGTGGCGGGGGCTGGGAGACTAGTCAGGATCGAGGGGAAATATGAACGGAGCAAAGTACAGAGAGATCCTTGATGAAAACCTGCTCCAGAATGCTCAGGACCTCAGAATGGGGCGAAGGTTCACCTTCCAACCGGACAACGACCGTAAGCACACAGCCAAGACAACGCATGAGTGGCTTCGGGACAAGTCTCGAAGGCTGGGTGACAGCCTAGCGGTTAAGAGGTTGTAACCGAAAGGTTGCTGGTTCGAATCCCCGAGCTGACTTGGTGAAATCTGTCAATGTGCCCTTGAGCAAGGCACTTAACCCTAATTGCTCTTGTAAGTCGCTAAATGACTAAAATGCAAAAAAAGTAATAATAATAATAAACATTGTAAATGTGAAGTCTCTGAATGCCCTTGAGTGGCCCAGCCAGAGCCCGGAGTTGAACCCAATCGAACATCTCTGGAGAGACCTGAAAATAGCTTTGCAGCGACGCTCCCATTAAACCTGACAGAGCTTGAGAGGATCTGCAGAGAAGAATTGGAGAAACTTCCCAAATACAGGTGTGCCAAGCTTGTAGCGTCATACCCAAGAAGACTCAAGGCTGTAATCGCTGGCTAAGGTGCTTCAACAAAGTACTGAGTAAAGGGTCTGAATACTTATGTAAATGTGATATTTCACTTTCTGTTATTTTTTTCTATTTATTTTACATTTGCAAACATTTCTAAACCTGTTTTTAGTTTGTTATTATGGGGTATTGTGTGTAGGTTGATGAGGGGAAGGCTGTAACGTAACAAAATGTGGAAAAAGTTAATGGGTCTGAATACTTTCCGAATGCACATCAAATACTGACCTATGTTTTTTGGGGGAGGTTATGATATCAGTTACTGAAATATGTATCTTTCATTCCCTCCAGAGTGCGCTGTCCAATAAGACAAGTGACGCTGTTTTCAATTCGACAGCGAAGGACCCCACATTTTAAGAGGTGCGTGCACAGTTCACTCCTCAGAGGTTGTGTTCTGTCCACTTGTCACTCCTCTCCTGGCTATACGGGCGGTGTTTGTAATGGTCAGTGAGAATTTCAGGTAATGCAAGCATCAACGGACAAGTCTGATGTCTTGATGCAACTAATTTTAGCTAGTTGGTGTTGTTGTTACTTTGAAATCTGACCAATTTTGCCTCTATGTATAGTAATGCTTTAGACAACCTGTAGGAAGTGGATAGGTCGAAAGGGATTCTTAGTAGAACTTGCAACGTATTGCAATAGTAAATGTCAGGTGTGGATGACACTGTCATAAAGCCATGTTTTCCTGTGATTTAATATTCTGCCGTCCAGGGCAGGTATTGCACAAGTTTTGATACTTTTTTTTAAAGGTAGAGCCCCTTAGATGTTAGACATGCAGTACTATTCATTTAAAATATTTTACTTTACTTTTTAATAAATGTCCTGGTAACACCAGAGGAAGCATCCTGTTTTGATACAGACCTTCCAGCAGATCCACATACAGCTTTTAAAAATATATTTCTGTTTGTAAATATTGCTTTCTTGTAAAGCTACTTCTCTCCGTTTGTTTGTTCTGCACACACTGTCTTGGCAATGTGTTTTGTCTTGACCCGTGTGCCTTATGTCAACATGTGAATTTTACTTTGTTTCTTTTATACCTATTAATAAATATCTATATGTCACCTATCTTTTATATTTGAGTCTTTTAGCAGATGCTCTTATCCATAGCAACTTACAGTAGGGAGTGCATACATTTTCATACTTATTTCCATACTTGTCCCCCGCGGAAATCGACCCCACAACCCTGGCGTTGCAAGCGCCATGCTCTACCAACTGAGCTACATGGGACTGTTTGAACTTTTTATTTATGGTAAAGATGAATACACATGAAATGAGTTTGTCTTTATTCATAATAGGGAATGTTGATTTAGAGTCCTGAGATTGAACCAGGCCCTGTAAACTTGAGTGGTTATAGAAAATGAATGATATTCCTCTTCTGCTCCATCAATCCTGGATTGTTTCATTGACGTTGAGCCAAAACACTCCTCTACCGATGAGTGGGATTGTAGAAACCATGTAATTGTCATGGATAATCAAGTTAGTCATTTATGAACAGGGAGAAGAGGATTTTGGCTGTATAATTGCCTCACTCAAACAATGGCATGATGGTCAAGAACGTTTGAAATGCTTTCAAGGCAACACAGTATTACACAATTAAAGCTGTTTGCTATTCAACTGTCTCCATTTGAAGCCCATCACGTTGTCTAGGCTGCATGATTACAAATCCAAGGCTAGATTAAACAGACAGCAATGAGTTAGAACAATACCCTGATCCAGTTGGAAATAATTTTAGACATTGAGAAGCACATTTTTAGTTGCTAAATTATTGGCACATTACATGATAAAGTTACATTTGGTACATCCCAACTATGCCCCCCCCCCCCCCCCCCCCCCCAAATTATAATTTTTTGCTTCAAATATACATTAAATATTTATTGCCAAAAGAGAATATAAATAGTAAATGTTAAGTTGATTGACATATTTAAATGTAGTCGTCCTTAACATACACAGGTCACTAGCAGGAATTGGAGAGACCCTCATCCACAAAACTGCTTGGCCAACTGATTACATGTACAATAGCTTTTAACTTCATAGGGACCCTTGGAACATCAATCACCAACAATGTTGGCACAATGCTGAAGTCATTCCACAGGCACACTAACTGGCTTTTGATCTCTTCCTGTATCTTCATTGTCTGATAGTTTTCACTTGGGGGGGGGGGGGGACCCTCGACTGGACAGTGCTTTTTCGCAGGAAATTCCATAAACCATGATCTGCTAATTCAATTATCGGACTGCAGTCCTCTCAAGTCCTTCAGCTCAGAATCTCATTGTCGTGACCATATGTCCCCATTTAAAACCACTTGTTCAACTTGTGTGAGACAAGCAGGTTAACGCCATTATCTCTCTGGGCTATAGTCTACCCATGGAGGCCTGAGATTCTAGCTCATTGGATAAAATCTTTCTGCCGTTCACTGTTGCTTCGGTTGCGAAGGAAGGATAGTCTAGAAGGGGGAAACGAAAAGAATGCTGTTAGTTACCGTTTATAAGCTGATGAGGGTCAAAGTAAAATACAAATGATATCCAATGGAAAGGTGAATCTGAAAAAACACATTTGACTAATGTACCGGTAGGTGTACGGTATTTGTATGCAAGTGCTGTTTCTCATGAGTTATAATGCAGTTCTGTTTGTATAGAAAGGTACACTGTAGTTGGCTTCTAGCAGGCAGGGCAGATACCACATCGTGTCACACAACCAGCTACACTAAAAATAGAATAATTGACACATATTTCATTCCTCAAGACATGTATTCTTAATTACTATACAAAAATACCCCTCTTAGCCTGTGAGAAAACACGTCATATTTGGAATATTGGATAGATCATGTCTTAGGTGGTTTAATCACATGTAGGGTTAGCTGAGTTATTGCTGCCTGAGGGGCTCAGTAATAAGGCTCCTAAGAAGTGAGAAATAAGTAGGACTAGTGCTGCTAGGTGCTACTGCTGCCCTGCCTGAGTTCCAGGGAGTCTACTGAAGCCAGCCTCAGGAGGCCAGATGACAGTTGGCCTCATTATCAGAACACCAAAACCCTCGATGAGAAACCTGAGGGGGAACAAAACAAACAGCAATGTTCCTCCACCTCCAAATGCACTCTGTTCTCTCAGGATTCCCTTTACTGTCCAAGTAGAGCTCTGTAAGTACTTATCATACTCAGACAAACAATGTCAGATGCCACCTGGCTTAGCCCGTACAGTATGGGAGGTAATTGTCATGTCAGGCATTGTCATGATCAACTTGACAACATGAAAATGTCACCAGTAAAGTTTGTCACATGAACATCCATCAGTCACATGGACATCCATCAAACTTGGGAACGTGTTATCACTCCTACACTGTTTCAAACAGGAATGACAAAAGACTCATGAATTGTCCATAAACAGTATTGTAATTGTTTTAGGTCATATTTACACTGCTGATCTGCCATTAAAGATGTAATAATGCCACTGTAATTACTAATTTGTTAGATTCTCCTGTACTTCTGTATACTTTTTAGCCAGTAGTTCTGAAAGTCGCACTCACGAGCCAAAAGTGTTCCCCAAAAATGGCGTACTACGTCACGTATGTGCAGATTTGTGCACCACATCGTTGCTCTCTCTCTGGCGATGGGCTGAAGCTCATTGGCTGAAACTCGAATTGCTAGGGAGCTGGCCCATGTGGGGGAAAATGCCAACGCACAGCTTCCAAAAAAAACCCAATGGCTTTCAAACTAGGGATTCTGTGGCTAATTGAGGTAAAACAGTACTTATTAGTCGCCAAAGTTCCAGAGTGTGTTTTTAATTTACACAGCAACATACCTGTATAATGATTAAAACGATTGTAAGGGAAAATCAAGTCTGACATTTCAAAGTGGAAATTACAAACTTCAGAAGCCTTTTTAAACCCCAAATACACAACACGTTTTACAATTCCTGCATTGCAGGAAAGTTCTCCTGCAACAGGGTGATCAAATTAAGATCCTGCATCTGTAGGTCGTTTTGGATAAAAGTGTCTGCTAAAAGGCATATATTGAGACAATTTGAATGCCAATTATACATTTCTAGAGCAGCACACTTGTATGGTTCCATTCACCCACAGACAGTTATGATTTAGCTTGAGATGTTTATGGTTAAAGAACTAAAATCGCTCTCCATAGTGGACATTCCCACATTTAACCAAAATGTCTCCTATAGTCCCCCTCGTAACCCCTGAACAATGAACTGTATTTCATATAATGGAAACGCTTTGGTGGCATTTTTGATAACTGGGAAACCTCCAGCATGTACAATTTTAAAAGAACATGTGTCAAAATAAACCCAAACTGGGTCATGGACTCAACATAAACATGTCAAAAGAAGCACTATAACTACATACCATGCAGTACATGTCCAATATGACCTAAACTTTCCAACATCCTTTCAACTCTATACAAGTCTTCGAAAGAGAATGTGTAGTGAACATGAGTAAGCTGATCCAGTTTATTAGCTTAGATCTTTCTCACTTAAAGAAATACTCCAGAACCTTTGCATACTTTTTAGCCAGTAGTTAAAGTAGCGCTCACAAGCCAAAAGTGGTCCCAGAAAATTGCGTACTACTTCACATATGTGCATATTCTCTCGCTCTGCTGTGTGTTCATCTTGCTACAGTGGCTTGCGAAAGTATTCACCCCCCTTGGCATTTTTCCTATTTTGATGCCTTACAACCTGGAATTAAAATGGATTTTGGGGGGTTTGTATCATTTGATTTACACAACATGCCTACCACTTTGAAGATGCATTTTTTTTTAATTGTGAAACAAACAAGAAATAAGACAACAAAACAGAACTTGAGCGTGCATAACTATTCACCCCCCCCCCCCCCCCCCCCCACCCACCCCAAAGTCAATACTTTGTAGAGCCACCTTTTGCAGCAATTACAGCTGCAAGTCTCTTGGGGTATGTCTGTATAAGCTTGGCACATCTAGCCACTGGGATTTTTGCCCATTCTTCAAGGCAAAACTGCTCCAGCTCCTTCAAGTTGGATGGGTTCCACTGGTGTACAGCAATCTTTAAGTCATACCACAGATTCGCAATTGGATTGAGGTCTGGGCTTTGACTAGGCCATTCCAAGACATTTAAATGTTTCCCCTTAAACCACTCAAGTGTTGCTTTAGCAGTATGATTATGGTCAATGTCCTGCTGGAAGGTGAACCTCCGTCCCAGTCTCAAATCTCTTGAGGTTTCCCTCAAGAATTTCCCTGTATTTAGCGCCATCCATCATTCCTTCAATTCTGACCAGTTTCCCAGTCCCTGCCGATGAAAAACATCCCCACAGCACTACCATGCTTCACTGTGGGGATGGTGTTCTCGGGGTGATGAGACGTGTTGGGTTTGCGCCAGACATAGTGTTTTCCTTGATGGCCAAAAAGCTCACTTTTAGTCTCATCTGACCAGAGTACCTTCTTCCATATGTTTGGGGAGTCTCCCACATGCCTTTGGCGAACATCAAACATGTTTGCTTATTTTTTTCTTTAAGTAATGTTTTTTTTCTGGCCACTCTTCCGTAAAGCCCAGCTCTGTGGAGTGTACGGCTTAAAGTGGTCCTATGGACAGATACTCCAATCTCTGCTGTGGAGCTTTGCAGCTCCTTCAGGGTTATCTTTGGTCTCTTTGTTGCCTCTCTGATTAATGCCCTCCTTGCCTGGTCTGTGAGTTTTGGTGGGCGGCCCTCTCTTCGCAGGTTTGTTGTGGTGCCATATTCTTTCCATTTTTAAAATAATGGATTTAATGGTGCTCCGTGGGATGTTCAAAGTTTCAGATCTTTTTTTATAACCCAACCCTGATCTGTACTTCTCCACAACTTTGTCCCTGACCTGTTTGGAGAGCTCCTTGGTCTTCATGGTGCTGCTTGCTTGGTGGTGCCCCTTGCTTAGTGGTGTTGCAGACTCTGGGGCCTTTCAGAACAGGTGTATATATATACTGAGA